ATCGAGTTTCTCGATTGTTTGGACGTTCCCCTTAGGATGACTGAGAATTCAGTGGTTGTCGCAGTTGGGGAATTTTTAAGAAAGTTTGAAGCTATCAGATGTGTTTCTATTTCGCGGTGTAATTTCACGTGCATTCTGCGTTACCATAACGGCCAGGCGTTTTTTTACATCACTCGTTTGGACCTGTATTGTAATGACCATGCTGACTTATTTGATGTCACCAACTTGACTTCCACTCCATCCCACTCCACAAGTTCGTCATCAGAGGGATTCTGTTTGAAATATCTAAGCTTTCTTCACGTTTATACAGATGGCAACGAGCGAACGATGAAATGTCTTGTTACCATTTTTAGAGATTGTAAGAATTTAAAAGATATTTCAATTCAGGGTGTTACTAAACGTACTTGTGAACTTCTTCGATATGTACCAAACCCCCGTACGTGTCGGGTACAGTTTCGTTTTTTCTCCTTTTTTCCTTTTCGCGAACCGTCGCTGACGTTATTCGACGTAATGAAGCTCGCTGGTTTGTTACCACAGTTTAAGAATCTCGTCTCCCTTGACCTTAACTTGAATAACTGTTGTGCTGAAGCAGTAAACAAACTGGTTTCTAGTATCACGCACAAGACTCTTGAGAAACTGGGACTGTGTGGCATTAAACTGACTCCAGTCACAGCCGCCGCGCTTGGTCGGTCAATTTCTGAAATGTCGTCCTTACGTATGCTCTCGATATCTGGGCCGAGAAGAGGGTTTCTAGAAACAGGATTTGACAGAACATCTCTGGTTTCACAATTATTTACGTTCAACACAGGAGGTTGTCGTTTCTTGCCCAGTTTGCATGAGTTATTTCTTGAGCGTTTAAATTTGAATGAACGGGGCTTACGTGAGCTGTTGGATAATTTGAAATTCTTCTCAGAGCTGACACTCTTAAGCCTATATGGCAATCCACTGGGTGACGCGCACACGGTTCACTCTATGGTGAAAAAAGCACTGCCTCGGGTTCATGTTTCTTATTGATAACGCCAAGTTCATTCACCAAGTGAAGGACACAGACGTTTGCACTGACAGAAGGAATGATTGTCTTTAGTATCGCGTCACTTAAGTATCACGTCTGCCACTTACATTGCCTGACGTCATGGAATGTCAATTGTAACAACAGGCAATGGAACTTGTCTCCAGCTACTTGTTAGATGACTCGAGTTTACATTTCATTTTAGGTTAGAATCAAGAACTATTAATTAATGTTTTAATTTTAACGGAGAAAGGTTTGAATGTATGAAAAACTTTCAATAGGTAATTAAAAATTCATGGAATTGAATCAGCCTTTCCAAGTTTTATTCATTTTTATTTTGGTACGTGAGAGGAGCGCATAATGTCGAGTGCGCGGAGCGAGAGTCCTTGCGGAGCACAAAAAACGAAGAGAATAATGTTCTCGTCTAAGACTTAATAAAAAGACGGTTTCTCGACTTCTCCTCAAGTCATTACCATATCTTTTTAACATTTTCCCTCACGACACTACGAAATTGCGTGTCAAGTTTAAATCAACACGAGTCTGCTTCAGATAAGCTTAAATTCATTTTGTCTCCATAATTAGTGAAGGCAAATATGTAAACAAGAGCAGTTTTTATATTTGAAAAAAAGTATTTTTCAATACGATCATAGCATGCAGATACGTGGACGGGCTCTGAAAACAGTGCTCTAAACGATGAGCTAAGACAAAGTGGATGGTCTGTGAACAGGTCACCATAGGATATTTTCTTTTAAAATTTACGTTAAAAAAATATCATTTCTTTGCATCCTACCTAAAGTCTAAAATTGATAGATATTGATGTAGAACAGTTTCCTCCAAGTTCAGAAATAGTATAGTTCCTCAAATTGGCATGTCAGTTGTCCATAGTCTACTTCATACTTCTGTCATCATCAGGGAACACACAGAGGGAGAGACTTTTTTTAAAAAAAAAAAGAAAAAAGAAAAAAGTCCTGCTAAGCATGCCTTCACCCCCCTGCCTTGTTGGCTTAAGGTGATGGGTTTGCCTCAAGCCTACCCCCTCCCTCCCCTATTCAAAAATTTGCCAATTGACTTAATGCACGTGAAGAGTTCTTATAACTATTAATAAAGGGTGTAAGTTTCTAAAGAAACCAAGGTGCTGTGTCGGGGTAGATGGGGAGTATAACAAGATAATTTTAGTTTCACCAACTGAGTTGATAATGTAAATTGGCTTTCGTAAAGAGTTTCTAAAGCTGTCTTTTGTTTTTCTGAAGCCTCTCAGCAGGCCAGCCTTTAAAATCTGATTGGCTGTAATGAGTAAAGCTTTAAACCACAGTCAAAAAAGTTAAGTTAGGCTGTAGGTTTGTCTGCTCGTAGTCAAAACCTTGGGTACTGTTTCTTCCCATATAGACCTCCCAACCAGTAATAAGCATTTATCTATGCCTGACTGCTTCTTTTGCAAGGCAAAAAGCTCCCCAGAGGACTCTATCAGAGTTTCTTGGGTAACAGCTTTCTTACCAAATTTGTTTGCTATTTTTCTAGAATAAACAAAAACAGCTGTTCTTCAGTAACCC